TACATACAAAAAAATGTTTAACAAATCCAAGAAAAAAAAGCACTCGGTCACTATAACAAAATACACACAAAAAAGAAAAATGTTAATAATCCATGAAATAATTTTACTCCCTCCGGATTATTCGCAGGAGGGAGACTTCATTCACATATCGCGAGATTAACCCGCGGGGGGGACTTCTAAATAATTATTCTCCTCCTCTTCCTCCTCTTCCTCTTCTTCCTCCTCTTCCTCCTCTTCTTGTGCCAAAGCCAATGCACGAATATGTTCGTACAAGGGTATTAGCCATGACAGTTGCGTGGCACCAATGAGAGAGTTATTGTCAATGTAATAAATACGTTGTTCCTCCACAAATACTACAAAGTTACCACGGTACTCTACTCCGTTGAATCTTGCGTGGAGAATGACGCGTGGTAATTCCATTGCGTTGCACTCAAAATTCTTCACGCAAAAAGCAATTGTTTTTTTCACGTCACCAGTGATTCTTTGCGCTACAAAATTATATCGAGGCCACGTTCAATGCCTCCACAAGACTCATTGACATGAGTACTGAACGCGGCGTGTCAAGAAAAGTGCCGATAACTCCGGCTGCTATAAAAAATCGGGGAGACCTATGATGGCTTTTTTTCGTAGAAATCGACGTACGTGTCGCGGCGAGTCAAGAGAAGCGCCGATACTCCGACTGCTATAAACAAATCGGGGAGACCTATGATGATGATGATGATGTTCCGATTTAAACAAAAAAATTGTCGATGATATATAATGGGTCATGGGGTGTGCAGGATCACAGTAGATAGAAGTCTAATGTGAAAGAGAGAGAAAAGCGTGCATACAAAAAAACGCAACAGTATCGCGTAGTGTCTAACGTACACGTTCAACGAGAAAAAATGGCAAGTGAAAAGACATCGCAGGAATTCGATTATTTGGCGTATATTAGAGATTTGTTAAAAATTACTTATCCAACTGAAGCAGTAAGTATATTTATTCACATGTATCTTTCTAATGTTTAAAAATATTATTAAACTCAATATTGTAAAAAATATTAAACTCAATATTTTTGTAATTTGACAGACATTATATCTCGATGGTATCAGTCGTGGAAACTGTGCAAGTACGCAATCTTATAAAAATTCAAATACGCCACCCGAATGGAGTACGTAACTTTTTCTCCTTTTTTTCTTTTTCTCTCTTTTGTCTTTTTTCCTTTATTTGATATGTAATGAATTGTGTGAAATTGAGATTTTTTATTATTGCATTTTTTGCAATACTTATGCATATATGATATCAAAATTAATGGCTTTATGAATATTAATCATCGGCGATGGATACGGTCATCAGCGTCGCCAACACAAGGAATATTTATACTTTTTATGGGAAGAAATTACTCGCGAAGACGTATTTGATCTGCAGAGACTCTTTGGTTTACGTCCATATGAAGATGATGAAGAAGTGTGGTGAACAGTGTCTACAGGATATTCTCATTATTTTGAATAATTACATAATTGAATAATTACATAAGTAATAAAGATCCACAAATATATATATATATACAATACAATACAATATATATACAATAAATATTATAGTATATACAATAAATAAAAGTGTATGAGTTATTCTTTTGCATTAAATAAATATTTAAAAAATTTTTCACTTTTTTAAATCATGATTCAATTTCTTTGTCATGTCCATGCCCGACACACTGACCTACATTCCTGCTCGACGCGCGCGAGTCATCCCGGCAAGATAAACTTCTCGGCGTTATATGATAAAAAGCGGTACGTCGATCGTTAAAATTATCAACGCATGGAAAAGAAATAAAAAACATAATTCGTATATTATATTTATTTATTCATGGTTATCTGACCACCAATTAAATAATTTGAATACATTTTGTAATGCGCAATTAGTATAGTGATATCCGCATAGTATTATCAGCGTCCAGATTGTTTAGAGAATCTATGTTTTCGTAATCAGCATCCAAAGTCTTGATGTATACGCGCTCATCGTCCAGAAGCAAATTCCACAGCCATTGTCGTTTTTCGTGTCCCTTGACATATACGACAGCATCGCTGTCATCGTCGTCGGCGTCGTCTTCTTCCGTTCCATGCACAGCCTTTGTAATCAAACTCTTAGCTTTGCTGTATGGAATCGTTCCGTCGTCCCATCGTAGTCTATGGTAATAACGTATCACCCAACGTGCGCGAGACTTGTCGGCACTTGCGAGGAAATGCCATGGTATAGGGCTTGCGAAAATATAGTGAGAGAGAACGATCCGTTTTCTGAGAGCGGCAAACTCCTTTACAACAAACTGTCCTCCAACGAGAAAACCTTGCAGGTCTACGAACGTTGGCACGACCATGACGAGCAATTTTTCGAGACTGCGGTCGATTTCGATGTATCGTAGATTTTATTGTCTCTCTCTCTCTCTCTCTCTCTCAGTGCCAGCGATGCTCTTAGGTGATCTTGCGTACAATATTGGTCAACGGATTGTAGTGAACCACGCGATCGTGTATAATGAGACAGTACGCGGTGGTATTCATCGGTTCTCCTTAGTCTCAAATTCCAATCTCACGTCCACGGTTGCGCTCTTGACCGATTCGTTTTGTCGAGAACAATCGATGATTATGAATGGACTGTTATGTAGAAAAGACGTGACGGTGAGACTCGGCTCGAGATACTCGTATCCATAGTAACCCTTGCAGAAACGCGCGTACGTTTCATACAACACGGACCATCTGTTTTTGTCGAAATCAAGATGCATATCGTCGTACGGATAACATTCCGAGTTCAGATAGAGTTTCACGTTGGTTAAATTGCAGTCGTCGAATCGACTCGTGTCCTCAGCCATGACATTTTTGCGACCTGTTTGCAGAGCAAAGATGATGTATCGCGGTTTCTCGAGCTGAGTAGCGGTCTTGATGGCCCACGAATGCTTGGTTGTACGCTGTAACAGCGGAAACTCGTACAGATCCCACGAGTGAAAAGCCATGCTCAAGTATCGTCCGCTCTCCAAAGTGCGAAGCATCGATAGTTTTTTTATCTCGCTCAATAACACGTGCGGCATTCGCCATTGTATCTTGAAAGTCGATCACGGGATCCAACGCCGAATTTCCCAGGCAATTGTTGTCGTTACGAGTTCGTATCAAGATCAATTCGTGACGAGCGTTGATTATCACGCGTCTGTAATCCTCGCAAAATCCCAACAGTACGTAGAGAGGTACGCAAAAATTAAAATATCCATCCGCGCTAGTATGCGCATCCCAACCGGCATTCCTCAGAATCACGCTTCTGTCGGACGATGTCGTTACGTTTGAGCGTACTGGTTACGCCCACGTTTCTGTTACGATCAATCTCCACACCATCAAGCTCGTATCGAATCTCATCGAACAGGAACGCGACAAAATTATTTCCCAGCACCACATCAGATCCCTCGACAACTCTGTTCTTCGTTAGTTTTCCCTCGAT